ACTTGGTGCTTCTAGGCTAGCTTTCCATTTAGCAAATCTCAGGAAAAAAAAAAAAAAGGTTGGGAAGGATGGTTTAGAATGACAGATAAAGAATCGTAAAGGTGTGGGCCCCAGAAAAGTATTACTGCCAACAAAGATGTAAGATGGGCTAAATTGGGCCTTCTCAGTGATCTGGATCACCAACACGATTGCCCTTCTCGGTTTCAAATGGAGAGATGTACGTATTTGCAAGTTGTTCAAGGATAAAGAGGGTGCTTTTCCAGACTTAACGTTTTATGCTCTCTTAAACAAAATCTTGGGTATAAATACAATTTAGAAAATTGCTTTCATAACGTTTCAGTGTGTTTATGTTAAAAGAGTTTCATAATTGTTTTTGTTTCTTTCTTGCAAGATAAAAATCTTTCCGTATGGCTTTCTTCACTTTTACTCATGAAAATAGTAATCACATTAACTGTAAACCTTCTGAGGGCAGGGATCCAGGCTGTTTTGTTCATGGCGTAGTCCCCAGAAAGTATCATACTACCTGGCACATTGAGTGGGTAACCAGCATTTAATTACTCATTCAGTCACCAAATGTCTATTAAATGATAAAGAATCATGGTTACTGAGTGAAAGAAGAAAAAATAAGTCTCAACAGCTTTAATTTATTGAGTATTAAGAGGGCTGGGCATGTCTCCAGCCTGGGATTCCTTATAGACACAGAAGTCTCCGAGAGGTGACCAAAGTCATTATATCTTTTTCTCATTGGTGGACTCACTACTTTGGAATGTTGGGTTTATCCATGTTCTTTGGTATCTTAAAAGAGAAACAGCGATTCTTTTTAAAGGGTTAAAAGCATCCCAGTCTAATCCTCCTGGGAGGTACTACTCTTATTTAATTGCCTTGTCTTTCATGTTGAGTTTATTGACATTTTTAAAGGCCACATTTTAAAGGAGACACACTTTTAAAGGCCCATTGGTCACCCTGGCTTCTTTCTTATTCAGGAACTACTGATATAATCAGAGGGAACTAGACAGGACAGTGAAAAACACAGGGCTCAAAATACCTTTTACCTAAAAAAATAAAATGAACAAACCAGCACTATCTACCATCTTGGCCGGACAGTGCAGATATGAAATAAATACTTTGCAGGGAGGGGTGCTGTGGAAAGGGTGACTCTGAAAGCCTAGGCACATGCAACATATCCATATCTCTATAAGGCCTTTCTCCTTGGCCTTCCTGAATGAGTGAGTGCTTTTTAGGGGCCTCTGATGTGTTCCACATGGCTAATTTTCCACCAAGACCTTTGAAGTTTGCCTGCTATCCTCTCAATAACTTTAACTTCACCCCACATGACAGTTATTGCTTCTTAGAAATGAATATGCAGAACCTTGAACAATAAGCCACTTCTCCTTTTATCCCTAGTAATTAATCAAACTCAATAACAACACAAAAGTAACAACGCAGGTGAAAAGAAAACTCACTTATGTCTTCAATGTCCAGTCAACATTGCTGAATGGGAGAACAGTATGTACTCTACTATATACAGATACGCTTTGTTTTATTTGTTTTTCATCCATGCACTGTGTAACAGTTATCACAACAACATTTCCAAACAGGCACATGTAGAAGGAGCAAATGTTCAGTCATGACTGGAACGGGATGGTGCAAGCCATGGATGCCTTTGAAAATAAAACTGACAGACAATCCCAAGCAACATCAACATGGGACGGGGACATGTATTAATGCAAATGGAAAAGGATGATGTGGTTTTTGAATGGGGTTATTGTTCCTGTATGCATAGGGGATGGCAGGTGGACAGGAGGAACAGGGCGGGGAGGGGGCACCTGGGGGTTTAGCTGGGCTGGATGCCAGAAGAAGGGCCTTGCTTATCATGGTCCAGAGCTAAACAGATGAGAAAGAAAGCATTTTGCATGTTCCTGGGAATCTAGGCACGTTTTCCTTGTACCTGTTAAACAAGAGTGCCAGGCATCACATCCTTAAATGTCAGACTACATCTAAAAACATCAGATTTCCTGGCTCCATTCCACTCTCATGCTTCTTCTTGGAGGCAGCTTCACCTCTGCTCACATTCTGGAGATAAGCATGAACTTTGGTAATACAATGAAGACATGCTTCTTTCTTCTTCCATGCCCCAATTTTTTCTTAATCCAAAATAATTTTTAAAGTGGTTGGGGAAGGTGAGGGGGAATCTCAGTGATTTAGATTTTGACCAAAAACCCATTTACATTTGGATGGTTTCACTTCCCACAAAGAAAAGCAACAACCCTGACCCTCCCAACAAAACAAAACACAACAAAATAACAAAAACAAAGCCAAACATCAACTACCTCCCCAGCCCCTCTGAAAACAAAATCAAAATCAAGAAAACAAATCAAAGCCTTAAGGATTTATGAACCTGGAAAGAGTGCAGCCCTTCTAGACTGAGCTGCAAAGATGGCCCTGCCTCCGTGCCTTGTTCAACATGATGATGCCCCTGGGAGTGGGAGGTGATCGTTTTTGACTTCGGCCCTAGTACAGAGAGTTATGCTCTTGAAGCTGGATTCCATCAGCAGGTAAGTGAACATGACAAATGTCAGTTTCCTCTGTTCGTTATACATAATTTTTTATGTATATATATATGTGTATATATATATATATATATATATAAATTTACTATATCTGATAGTTCCTTTAGAAGCCTTTTATGTGGCAGTAGGCCTCCAGGGAGGAGAAGAAAATGTACAAGAGCCATAGGAGCACAAAGAGGCAGGATGTGAGGAGCTTGGCAGTCCGGGGCCCACCCAGCTCACCTCCGATTTCTGGCCTCCGCCGATACAGCAGCACCCCCACATTGATGAAAGCAAAGATGGTGAAGAGAGTGACAGAGAAAGCTAGCGTGCCAGGGGACACTTTGAACTGTTCCCCATTGGCTGCGTGGTAGATGGCAGCGATGGACCAGGCCACACCGATTCCCAGGAAGACGTTCACCGCGTTGCTGCCCGTGACGTTACCTATGGAGGCGTCTGCATACTGGTCCTGTGTGGCTGCCACTTTGCTGGCAAATGTGTCTGCAGAGGAAGAAGAGAGTAGGTGATAATCAACCTTTCAGAGATGTCTTTAGAGTGCTGCAAGCTTTAGCTGTGTACTCTAGGATCCAACCCTTGATATAAACCCAGTGACCAAGAACTGGCTTTGATGTTCCTTTGAATCAGATTCATGGGATGGAAAGAACAGGATCTAGATATTGGGAGTCAAGGGTTCAGTGCTGGCTGCGTTGTGGACTGACAAAGTGATCTTGGTCAAGTTCTGTATCCACAGATACTGCGGTTCTTTGTAATATTGAGTTTGCAGGACAGGGTTTTTTTTAGAAAGTAGTCACAGCTCACCTACATCAGAATCAAGTGAGGTTCTTTTAAGGAGTGAGTATTGCAAGGTGCCATGCAGCTGTGCTGGTCGTAATGACAGCGGCCCAGGAATCGATTTAACCGTATCCTAAAAGATTCTACGTCACTAAAGTTTGGAAGCAGCTGCTGGAGGGTATTACTAAAAGATGCTGTATCAGCAGCTCTGGTTTATAGATGAGAAAGTGAAGATGTCAGGGGAAATTTTTCAAGATTCAAGAGCAAGCCAATAGTGGAACTGAAAAGAATTGAACTATAATAGCATAGCTGGCCTTTGCTTAGATCCTTATGACTAAGAAAGCAGATTCAGCCATATTACTGCGTTGACTGTGATGGTAATTTTATGAGGTGAGGGAAGGAGGCTTAGAGATGACAAGTAGTGGATGCCGCATCACAACTAGGAAAAACCATGTTAGGGTTACAGCTCCCGCCTCCTATCTTCATGGTTAATCCTTTCTCATTCTGCTCTTTTACCTTTCACTGTGCTGTGGACACCAATGACCATTTTCAAAGCCCTTATTTACTAATAATCCTGAGTGTATCTTTTTCTGATGATACAAAAATCTTGGTCCACTACAGAAGGTTGAACAACAGTGACTTAGACTTCTTGATGAATAGAACACAGGGGTTTAGAGCAAATTTGAACCAGGGGACTTCAGATTCTGCCTTCACAGCTGACTGTGTGTCTCCGGAAGATTACCTAACTTTGCTGGGCCTCAATTTCCTAATCTGTTAAATGGGGATAGTGCTGCTCACTTCAGAGTGCTGTTGTTAAGCTGAAATACTGCATGTAAATAAAATGCTTTTGATGCTTTTTGGCAAAAAATAGGAGACGTTCTTTTTGTTGTTTTGGAAAAACAACATAAACCAAGCAGGCTAGATGAGTTTAAAAGTTGGAGTGGGATCTGAAATAGCTTCCTGTATTAATCATGTAAACAGATTTTGCAACATATTAAATTTCTTGTCTATATGATGCCAAGTTACATCAATGTCCTGGCTGGGCACAGTGGCTCACACCTATAATCACAGCACTTCGGGAGGCCAAGGTGGGCAGATCACTTGAGGTCAGGAGTTTGAGACCAGCCTGGCCAACATGGTGAAACCTCATCTCTATACTAAAAACACATACACAAAATTAGCCAGGCATGGTGGTGAGCACCTGCAATCCCAGCTTCTTGGGAGACTGAGGCATGAGAATTGCTTGAACACAGGAGGTGGAGTTTGAAATGAGCCGAAATCATGCCACTACACTCCAGCCTGGGGGGGACTCCATCTCAAAAAAAAAAAAAAAAAAAAAAAAAACCCAAAAGCAAACCTTTCAGCTACCTTGCACAGTAGGTTAATAGCAGATATTAATAACTGTCAAATTGAACTTATTTTCAAAGCCAGTAACAGTAAACGTTAAATGACTATGAGGTGTTGTGTTATCAGCTCTGGCTTTCCTGAGGTCCCGGACATGCTCTGATAATGTCTGTAGTTCTACGATACCTGAACTAGTCTCTTCTCTCTGTTGCTATGCCATTGCCACCATCCTTCCTCAGTAAATGTCCAGTGGGGAAGAAACATACAGCATGGAAGTTTATATCAGCCCATGGGTTTGCCTGCTTTACAGTGGCTGAGGTTTTTAAGACTACTCAAGGGCTACTGCATCTGCAGTAGTTCACATTCTCTCTGAAAGGGAGTTGGTCGACCCTGAAGGCCTGTCTCATTGATTCTGCCCTCTGCCTGTGATGGAAAGCAGACTTGATTATTATTTCATAATTAAAGAAGTAGGCAAATACTGCTTATTCCATGCCAGGCACTATGCTACACAGGCGACATGTATCTTCTGATTCAAACCTCTCGCAAGCATTATGGCTAGATGTCATTATTCCCCTTTCATGATATGGTAAACTGTGACATTGTGGTATTATGCCTCTTGGATAGAGTCTTAGTCTGCAGAATGTGAATTTTCAAACCAAAGTCTGATTTCAGAGTCCATCTCAGTCCATACCACATGGCCCTTCTGGGAAGCCCGAAAAGCCTGAAGTTTTTCTTTCCTCTTAGTTTATTTCAGGTGGCCCTATTCCTTGCACTCAAACTCTGAAGCAGGTGCTTATCCAGTGCTGTTTCCTGTATCAGGAGAACAAAGACTGAAGAACTTATGGGCAGTTTGTGAATCCAGACTCCTGGATTTGTGCTGCTATGTGCATTCATGATCACACATTCATGCAGCCCGGTCAGCTATCACAGACTGTTGAGCAAAAGCAAAGTGAGACAAATCTTAATGGTTTCTTGTAGTTCAATTATTAAAAGTTAATAGAAACGGGGCAGCAGCAGCCTCAAAAAGAAAAAAAAAGGATGTTGTTTCGTTTTCTTTTCTGAGGTCAGGCAGGGGAGCAAGGAAAGTAAAGGAACAAGAGTCCGAGGCAGGAGAAAGCAGCTTCCAGCTCAGCTGCTGCTGAGGAACACCTGAGATGTTATTCTGAGCTGAAATAGCTGGGAGCACTTGCTTCTGGTGAACAGATGGCCATGTTAGGTAGGCAGTTAAGGGGATGGTATTCCCTCTGTATGCTACAAGGACAAGTGACCTGGAGCCGTTCCATAGCACACACCTGCTTACCTCCCCTGGCACCTGGTACATTGCACATTGGACTTCCTGGATACCCCATATCTACTCAGGAACTCTGGGCTTTCTGGGTGGCACCTTTGCTGCTGTACCAGAAGGAAAGGAAGTTTAAAATGGAAGACTCCTGGGTCTGGGGACACAAAGCACCCAAACCAGTGCTTCAGGCTGACATGGAGGGCACACTGGGTATGCAGGGATTTCCTCTCCCAGAAGCCATTTATCAGTAGCCTATTAATATGAATGTGGCATGAAGAGTCTTTCTTAAAAGGTCCTAATTTTCAGATGTCTTTTTTTTTTTAAATTTCCTAAAAGTTAACAGCTGAAGTGACTGGCTTGTCACGAGATAAAACATGTTTTTGGCTACTTTGTGTCTCATAGGTTTTATTTACTTGGGTTAGACATCAGGCCTTTGGTCTGTTTTTATTTTCAATTCAAAAGCAATGAAAAAAAAAAATGCCGTAGGAACACAGGCAAATCCGAACCATTAACCTTAGTTCCAACAGACAGAAATCTGTTTTCCAACTGAAGTGCAATGGATTCTCCCCAAATTACCTTTTATTGCTGCTATGTTGTTCAGCACATAGGGCAACACATCACGTACCACATGTTAGGTGCTGCCAAGCCCTGCCCTGAATGTTAAGCCTGTAACTTACCTATGGTTAAACCAGGAAAATGCCATTTCCTAACAAAATCAAAGAAATAACTACTGCCTTGGGCTTGAAGGGGATATAATAATATTTAGAGGTTGGTCCATTAGATAAAAACATGTCTGAATTAGATTTCCAATGCGACTGACACAAACTATGTTGATACTAACATGTGTTTTTCCCTTCCTATATGTCTCTGGGTAGGTTTTTAATAGGTTTTGCTATTAACTCCCACCTTGAATTCTAATGAATTTTAGATCAGTCAGACAGTTTTAGACTTCTAGTTCTGTCTCCTTGATATAGATGACTATAAATCAATAAGAAGGAAGACTGTCGAGGCAGCATGCTGGAATTAAACTACACGTCACAAAGTCAGGACATAATTGTTCTTTGCACACCTGTCTCGAGTTCATGGTATATAACCTTGTTCAAGTCATCTGGTCAATATGCAAACATAGGCCAATACCCTCTGCCTTTCCTCCAGCAATGATTCTTTGCTTAAATTTCTCAAACATTATTGCTAGTTATAGGCTAAGCCTGAAATATCTCCTCTGTAAAGAAGGTGGTTCTCACAGGTCCATCCTGCAGGATGGACGCAGGGATTATATATTATCTGGAGCAAGGGTTTCACCCCAGATAGTTCATCTTATTCTTGGTTTCTTAGTGTTCTTTGGGGACCAGCTGTTAAACTGTCAAGTGGTTCATGGCCAGGAACTGACACCAACGGTTTTAAGAGGAGTCCATCCTGGTTATGAAGGTCTGCTTGCTTCTCCCAGAAACCCGACCTTGATATATTCATTCATTGACAATGAAAGAAGCAGCTGAGGTGTACAGAGCTTCATGGTGTAGTAGTGGAAGAAGCCCCATCAAAGAGACCCTAGGTTCTTCCGACTATCTATGTGTTCTCGGCAAGTCACTTCACTTTTTTTAGATTCCAGTTTCCTCGTTTAATTAGAGTATCTCTAAGACTCTTTATAACTTGGCTGTTTGGGTGGTGCACAGAATACATTAAAATACTAAATTTATATTCAATGTGTGATTTTGTTGGTCTTTTTTGATAGGAGTTCGTACATGGCCACTCTTTACAGTAATTAACTGATTATAACTATCTTATTGTGAAGAATAAATGACTTAAATGAAATATTTGAGGATCCTAGGAAGATCTCAAGACCTGAAGATACTACCTTTGATCAAACTATGACAGTATTTATGAATTTAAACTACATGGCACAGTTACTTACCTTTTAAAATTAGGTAAGAGGCCAGGCGCGGTGGCATACTCCTGTAATCCCAGCACTTTGGGAGGCTGAGGCAGGTGAATCATAAGGTTAGGAGTTCGAGACCAGCCTGGCCAACATGGCAAAACCCTGTATCTACTAAAAATACAAAAAATTAGCTGGGCGTGGTGGCGG